CGCTAAGGGTTGACTTACTGTGGGACTCTAAGAAGACCCCCTTTGGTTTTTTGGTGCTGTCTTGTCCCTGATCAAAGGACTGAGGGCTAAACAAACAAAGACAGGCTAAAATTACACATCCTCAGAACGACTCATGTTGTGGCACGCAAAAGAGTTGAATAGTCGCCTGATTGATGGGCTGCTCTGAGACTGGCGCGGGTGTACAGTATTATCTCAATAATCATAAGATAATGTCTTGCTCGGTTCCGCGGCCACCCACTGCGCGTCTCGGCGTGTTGTGGTGTGTGCGCTGTCGAGGTGTGTCAACATAAAGATGGTGGAAACAGCTGACAAAGCCCCAATTATACTGCTGCCGTTTCTAYTCTCTAAATAGACTGTGGATCGTCACCATCAGAACATGGTGAAACCACTATAAATTACAGCGTTTTTATGTAACCACTGGCTGTGTTTGTTGCTCTAACGCAAGAATATGGAAACTAACCCAGTGTTAAACTGTAACAGTCTATGGCCAGTAGGAAAACAGCCCTTGTCACTATCTATTGAGATGATTTCGCTTGAATGAATGTGTGTGTTCTGTGTGTGCATCGGCATGAATCCATCCACCCACTCCAACCCCAAATAAAGCCCCAGTCTTAACCATCCGCTTCCACTCCTACCCTCTGACTTTCACATATGGGAGTGAACTAGAAATGCATGGCTGAGAGAAAGGAGGAGCCACGATGGAATTAGGCCAGAATGATGGAGGAGGGGATAGAGGGGAATATTAGGTGTATGATATAGCACATGCACGCATGAGTCACCTCTTATTGATCTGAGTACATTAAAGCTTAAGGCAAACATTAAAAGTAAGAATATAAAAAACAGAACATGCTTCACCAAATCAACAAAAGAAAAAAAGACATAACATGACTGAATAATGCAAACATACAAAGTCTGAGGAAATAGCTGTCGGTGAGTTGTGACTGGCCAGAGCTAGGATTTAGTGGTGACTTCTCCCCCCCTTCTCAGGATGCAATTTAAACACACCCTCGGGCTACAGCACTTCATGAATAGGACAGAAAATCAAGAGCAGAGCAGAGCAAAGCAAAAAAGGAGAAGAAAAAGTAGAAATGAGATAGTAGGAAGAGAGGAAAAAACAAACAAACCAGGAGATGGGGGAAAGGAAAGATGAAGGAAAAAAAGAATGGAGGACACCAAGAGTGGAAACAAAGCCATTCAACCAATGTCAAACAAGGTTTATACAAAAAAAGAGCACTATTCAAATACTGCATAAGGGCATGAATGCCTGTTATCATCTATATAACTTTTCCAAATATCCCACTCACCTCTCCTTGGAAGCTCTTGAGCAGAGGAGCAACTTGTTTCCGTAAATCCTAAAAAGGAAACAAAATGAAGACATTAGTATAAAAATAGAGATAACATTTTTATTTCTAAAAACAGCAGTAGATRTAAAGAAGCTTACAGTGGGAGAACAGTGATGCAGTTACAGCTCACTTATACCAGGACAGCGTTAAAAAGCACCAACAACTGCAAACGAGTTCGCAGACATTCTTGATTCTGCCAATAAAAATAGAGTGGTGCGTGTGTGATGAGTATGAGAGAGGAGAAGAGGCCAGGTTTGTGCCCTGGGGTGCTCTGCCGGACTGGGTTTCTCATAAGAACAGGTGCAGTACCACCTGGGCCACCCAGAGGCACCGAGTGCGTGAGTCAGAGAGGGAACGAGTCACAGATAGAGCCTTACAGTTAATGCAAATTGCATTAGCGGCACACCAGGTTTTTACTACAAAGCAAATGCTTTTCATCCTCTGAGTCCCATTGCATGACTTTCCAGTACGAGTCAGCAGTTCTAGATTAGATAGCCAGCCGAGTATGTATCAGGGGAACATGCAAATCGCTGTGCTGTTAGCCAGGCCTGGATCCTGACAGACTGAACTGGAGCGTACGGTACAAAGCACAGCGGAATAGGATGTTCTGTACAAAAACATTTGATTTACGCAGTCTGTGGACACAAACGCATGGCTTAATGAAGACGATAAGTAGGGCAACAACAGATGTGTGTTCAGGAGACTTAGAAGCCTCCTCTGAAAAGGCTTGAGTGAAGAAATGACGAGGAGCGAGCTGACCTGTGACCAGCGTCTGGGGCTGGACTAATCTAAGGCTGGTCCAGACAGGCCCCTTGTCTGGGGCTTAGGACAGGTCATGAGTCTGTGACCCAGCTTCATTGTTACCTCATTAGGGGTCGGTGCGGCTGTTTGTCTGGGGCCAATTCAATATTGCCTTGTTGTGAATAATGACCCTTAGCCCCACCCACAACGGCTCAGGGTCGCTGTTCATTAAAACCACAAGATAAGTGACGGTTACCAAGTTTGCATTAGACTGAGATTATATTCTAATTTTTTTTAACTCAAAGGTCAGTTTCCTTGTAGTTATAACATTACCTGTGCAAGTGTCGTTTGGAATAATCGATTGTTTTTACTCTTATTTCCTTAAAATAGTTGTTAGACTCAAAAAAATACACCTATGAGACCAGCTCAGACATGTTATTTCAATATCCTCATGAAGTAATGGGTTGATGGTACTTTAACTATGAAATCAAACATAAAAATGTTAGACTGGACCATGTAAAATGGTGTAGTTTGACCCAATTTACACTAGTAGGTTTCTTGGTAATATTGATAATATACTGCAATTCTGAAAGGCAGGTATGCAGTCAATATAAACAAAGCACCAGACCAAATTCACCAAAAAAACATGTGATGGGCCTACATTAAGCTGTCTGTGTGGGTACACATATTTGGTGGAATCAGAMAAATGTAGACTCTCAAAGGTGATGTTTAAGTGGAAACACTAAATCTGTTGCTAAATGTAAAACAATTAAAGAAAAAAAGGTAAAAGAACAGTCAAGAATAGATGTGGGGATCAAGTGATGGAAACAAAGATAGCTCAACATTTAAACACATGCAATGTCTGCAAAACATCTTGACTAGTGAGTTTACTAACCTATTTTACTTTATACCTGCATTCTCAACTCAATAAATCTTAGCGTAAATATGTAGCAATGCATCAAAATCGTTAGACGTCTTAATCCCAAACGGCTCTTTCATAGACGTCCCCATTGCTGACCTATTTTCAGTCACTCCGGCTGTTTTCATAGGTAAACAAACACAAGGGTAGTTGGCAGCTGTTCACAAATTTTGCTTACAAATTTTTAATTTTGGGACACATTAACCATAGATGTGCAGATTTTGTTTTGATAGTTTATGAATTATTTTTTTGATTGTCTTCATGACACCGCAGTGCAAACCTTTAAAGCCATATTAGCTGTAAAAGTAAGTGATTTTTCAGTGTTTTAGATTTGAATATTTTTGCACGAGTATCAGTCTTTTTCTTTTTGATGCTACCTTCTGCAGGAGTCACCACAGTGAGTGAACTCACACAAAATATATGATTTGACACCAGACTGCCTTCCCAATGCAACATGATCTTGAACCTGCAGCCTCTGGATTACGAGGCTGTGGCACTAACCACCGAGCTAATGTGGCCCCCATACAAGTGTAGATGTATATGTGTATCAAGTACACTTAGGACAGTCTCAGTTCAGGACTGATTTTAAATTGCTAAAACAATCCCTGGATGTAAACAGAGTCAGAGGGAGAACAATGAAATCAAGGGTCAAAAGGGAATAAAGTGAAGTTCTTGTCTCTTCTTCTGAAATGGAACTGCGACTAAAAGCTGTAAGGACAAGTCGAAAGAAGTAGAATCATTTTGGGGAAGGAAATTAAGCGTTGAAGCAAAAGCTGGGGCGAAGATCATCTGCATATGAGCAGTAATAACATTTTCTGAACTCTAATGGGAGAATTTCCATAACTGATCTGTAGCTGAATTTACTTGTAAACAAAGGCRAGAAAAGTTGCATGTTTTGACAGCTATTACGGCTTTAAAGTGTCTGCATGCAAGAACCCAGAGTAGTACTGTTATTCCTGAATTTCAGTGGCAAGTTAGTGAAACTTCAAGAAATCATTGCTCTAGCTTGTGTTTGGTTGTTCCCACATTTGAGGCAGCACATGAACTTGGGGAAAGCAGATGCACCAAATACATTCTAATACCATAACATAACAGCAGCAGCAAGCTACTCCTGCTGGACACTGGAGCTCTGTGGTCCACTCACCGACCCGCCTCCCCCTGGCCCCTCCACTTCCAAAGATTTATGACCATATAACATAACAATGCACACAGAYACCATGGTCAATCTGTGTGTGTGTGAGTGTGTCTGTGTGTGTGCACGCTTGTGTGTGTTGAGGGGCCCAGGCAGCAGGAGATGGATGGCTGGTGTGTAAGCTGCCGGCAGACAGCAGACAGGCCAGCCCGAGGAATCCTCCAGGGAGTAAGGAACTCCCATTCGCTGTCTGTCTGCCCTGCAGCTAAACACAAACGTGTGTATGCGTGTGCACACACACATGCACACAAAGTTATTTTACTACCACTGCCTCTGGTCAGCAATCTTTGGGGCATTTTGCAATCATTCCCACCCTTTCCCTTCATATCACTGTAGGAAAGCAGTCTTAACTAAAAGAAAATTAAAAGCAAATTTAATAATTTAGCTAATTTAGGAAGTGCAGTGAGATGAAGTCTTGAGGAAAAAAAAGAGGAAAAAATCAGCGTGTCAGTCCTGATGAATTATAAAAACTTTGTTTTCACGCTGCATTTCTTTGCACTACTTTCAAAATGCTACAAAAGCCGCTGTGTGAGTGTACGTGTGTGTTATTATGCAGGCTGTGAGTGCAGTTCACGCCGAGTACAGCTCAGCAGACTAGACACAGTCAACGTGGGCCGGTCTCCTGGTTGTTGAATAATGGATCAGAGACGGACTCCCGCTCAGCTTAATGCAGTCTGATCTGATGTGACTGTGATCTCTGTTGACTGGTGCGGACCACAGAGAGCTGACAGCCCCCTCTACGGGCTGGTCAACCACACACAGAGCCAAGAGCATGAAGAGAGGGGGGAAAATATACAACTATACAAACACACACACAAGACGATCGGGGCGTTTTTAATCAAGCGCAGGCCATTGCATGTTATGAAGCAGCCTCTTTGCTAGGCAGCTCTGATGCTTCTGTACTTCCAACCGCCCAGAGTTTTAGTGCCGAATCCTATTGAGCCTGTTACAGCCCTGTAATGAATCCTGTCGCTCGTCTCGCCTGGCTCAGATTCCTCCTCCACATACCAGGGAGATGCCAGGGGCCACACAGACGCCAGAGGAGCCTTCCTAAATCACAGCCTTGTTACACTGATGAATGTGTGTGTCCTGTTCTGTGATCTAGGCTATCTGCCTATGTGTTTTTTGTGCCTTTGCTACTCTGGATGTTTCTTTGTGTGCCTCTACATGTGGATCCTCCCCCCCCCCCCCACCCACACCCCAATCCCTTTGAGAGAGCTGCTTGTGCTTGGAAATGAGATTAGAGGTGAACGTGTTGGGTGAAGTGCAGTTTGTGTGTTCCTCCACACCAGGAGGGCCACACGCCGGAGTCAATCGTCACAGTCGTCGTCCTGTGGCAACTACAACTGGCCTACTGTCWACTTCATCCAGTTGATCATTTTCTATCCACTGTCTACACCGCTCATCCATTATTCATAACCCCCATCAATAATTCACTGTGGTGACATTACCAATAATAACACAACAATAMTTTGTTTTCACCGTGAGGTTTGAAATGTGTTGCCTTGGTAACGGAGATGAAACAAATATTCCCGGGAGGAGAGATGGGAACACAGGAACAGGACAGAATTCCCTCCTGATTCCACTTAGTAGTGTTGTCACACTTACCCCCTCCCCTCTTTTCTCCCACTCCTGCTCAGCCCTGCCTCTSTGTCTTTCTCCCTCACACACTCAGAGACCACACTTTCTGTTCCTCACATRAAAAACTAGGTCAGATAATACAAACTCCTGAGGGCTTTTCTGTTTTGTCTCTTTAGGATTTCAGGGAAACTAATGGAGAGACTATTTTTGGGAGCCGAGCTCGCATCCCTGCTCCGTCTCCTCCTCTCCCCTGCTCTCTCAGTAAATAATCACAGCTTCGTTTATGAAGAAAGCAGACGCAGGCAAACTCTTACTGTCAAATGACAAGTGAGGTTTTCATTTAGGCCTTCTTTTTTTTGTCTCGTCTAAGTTTCTGTCGTCTCACCTCTGGAGTGGTCTTCTTGAACTCGCGGCTCAGGTCGATTAGTTTCTTCCTTGACTGTTCGCTCTCGTCCTGTCTGTTGGCAAGCTGTGTGGCGGTGGCGTCGAGTTCTTTCTGCAACACAAACACACACACAAAAAAAAAGTTTTATTTTAGTCACAAGTATCTTTATTATCATTAGAGATGGAAAGACAGGAGAAGCCGTTTTAACTCGGCAGCCCACCCATGTATCAAGGTGCTAACGACTCGTTTAGATGCAGCTCAAATTGGATCGTACGTTGCAGCCACAGCGGAAGAGGACAGACCCATAACACCTTTGTGAAGCCAAGAAAAACACTGCTACACAGCTGCTTTTGATGCGCAGGCTTTTTCTTAGTCCTTCTGCCCGTCAGTCAGTTACAATTGTGGCAGACGTGTAAACCTCTGTAGCAATAGGTAGGTGTTAGTTCACAAGAATTATTAACCGTCAGCCCCAGATGACTCCTCCTCTCTTAGTAACATAACGACAACAGCGCAATTATCAACAACAGCGTTGTCAGGGCTGAGCTCAGGCCTGCCTTTATCCACATCCATTTTACATTGTTATTAATAGCTATTCATGGGACTTGTTCCAGATGATGAGCTGAAGTCTGACATTAACAAGGCTTTCAGGACTTGTAAAGATTGTATCTCTCTCTCTGCTGAGTGTGTGGCAATTCCTGGATTATGTTTGTTGGATTCTTGCCCTCCGTCGTGCTCACTCCTTTCTGCAAACTCTCCACAGACCATCCACTCACTCACTCATTCAACCAGCAGCTCTGTCTCCTCAGTTTAAATCTTTTACTCCGCCTCTCTCCATTTTCCCTCCCCTTATCCCCTCCTAACCACTTCCATCCAGCGCCCCTGTGAGGACGCCCACCCCCTGAGAGTGATTAAACGCTGCTGAAGGGCCGTTATGCTAACTAACACACTAATCATTTAATACACACATTACCACAGGGGCCCTTGTGGCTCAGTCCGCTGACAAGGTCCCAGAACACACTCGCGTATATATGCTCACACTCCCCAAAACACACAATGCAACCCTCTAAAGAAATAGTGTGATCAAGTACTAATTAGGAGATTTTCTCCCCGTCAGCATTAAGTTTAATTCCCTGACCAGCGTTGATCGTTTTATCCACAAACCATGAAAATAGTCTAAAATTAAAAAGTGGTTGACAGTCTTTTGTGGTGCATTTTACTCATCAGCATAGGATGTTTGGAAAAAAATAAAATAAAATAAGTAAAAAACTTGCTTACATGCCATCTTGCTCTTGCTGCCCATGGAGCAGTTGATGTAGCAGCCTGTCTGCCCATGGCCATGGAGCAGCTGCGCTATCTGTTAGTGAATTCGAGCGTGCGCTGGCGCTTGTGCAACGCTTGAYGAAGAGAGGAAGCTAGCAAATTATAATCACTTTAAATTAATTGTCAAAACCTAGATGCTCCAATTCATAGAGGTGTAATTATTACACCGGGTAATATTAGAAGAAAAAAAAAGGAACAAGCATAGAGGAACCGTCTGCATTACTATGTTAGCACCACATTGGAAAATAACGATTTCATAACTAAAAACTCCTAAACCTTAGATAACCTTTTACCAAACCAGCTTTATCCTGAAGCTCAGTGAGTTTTACGATGAACGCAAATCAGGATCAAGTCATCAATATGACTTTATTGGGCCAAGCTAAAAATCCAGAGTCCTCTAGCAGAGCTCTGCTTCGGGGGGGGGGGGGGGGGGGTCATGTGCCAATCCCTAATGCCCTCAATTCTGTCCAATCCCTTTCCAATAACCAGAACATAAAAAAAATTCTCACCACTAAGCTATATAAACACATCACACATAAAAGAGGATTGATTCGGTGCCAAGTGGGCAAGTAATTATGTGTATGGTCTTACTTAAAAAAAAGGCCCTCAGACTCAATCAGGTTTTGACTACGCAGCAAACTGTGTGCCCTCATCAGCAGACACGAGAAGACTTTACACTTCTCCTGCTGCTAGAGCGTAACGTCCAAAAGTGCACAATCCCTCCTGTTTGAATCTTATTCATGCGCATCAACTCTGACTACAAAGAAACCACTGTTACTTTAAACTGAGTGTAAAAAGTTACTTAATACAGTACAACAAAAAAGTGAAACATACACAAGGACAAATTTTAGTTTCTGTCAGTTTAGTTGCAACTGTCATGTTACTGTAAGTTGGATATATACATATAAATAATCATGATGCAATCATCACATTGCAATGTCAATATGTCCAACAGCAATATTGCAAAAGAATGCTTGGAAGGCAGCAAATCACAAGCTGTTAGTTATATTTTAACTACCATGTGTAAAGCGATTTTTAATGTGTTTTTTTTATAAGCTATCGTTTTAGAAAAAGGCTTATTGTTTATGCTTTGCATCCACACACAAACGGCTTTTTAGGAGCCCCTAAAGTGGTACTTTTTGAAGGTTCTAAAGTGAAAAACGTCTTCAAATGCCACCCTTGTGTTTTTGTGTAGACACATAAAACGTAAACCTTTGGATACAAGGATGYCAGAGCCCTGCCTCTATTCTAACCTATGACCTGAGGGAGTATTCTTTTTTTGTTAACCTTTTTATTTAATCAGGCCAATCCCACTGAGATCACAGATCTCTTTTGCAAGGGAGGCCTGGACCTAAAGGTAACGTGAATGTTTTTAGACTAAGGGAGGTTACCGCAATACGCAGCGAAATTAGGAATGCAAGTTATCGATTAATGAATCTWTATAAAGTTGACTGATCTCCTCAATTGACTTATGATTAACTGATAAGCAGCCATTTTCTAAAAACTACATTTTCTCTTGGATCAAGAGGGATCAAGGGGGGCTTTGCATAACATATGAAGGGTTAATTTTTTTATATGCTGAATGCTCAATGCAGAAAAAGCACATTAAACTTTAACAATATTTTGTCCCAGCTGTATTAAATACTGACTGAATAAACAAAAAAAAGTGTGGTTTCCTCACACATTATTAAACTTGGACATACTTATAAAATAACAAAACAGGAATCTATTAGTTTACTTAATAAAAAAAAAGATGAAACAAAAAATATGTCAAACACTAAATCCACCGTAGACAGAGAGATGTAAAACTATAATTTAAACAGGGTAATGTTTTAAGCTAAAGATTAACTTAAAAACAAACTATAAAAATAATAAAATATCCCTGAGAGRAGTGAGAATACAAACAAGAGTACTGTCAACTTAACTATCAGCGTGTTTGCATTCCCTGTGGTTCTATCCAAGCCGGCCTGATCTGACGTCAGCAGCTGTTGCTCATTTGATTGGTTCACTGGAAGGGGAGGTACGTCACAGTTGAAGGTAACTTTACATGAATCATTTGTAATGACTGTAACGTGTTTTTGTTTCACATTCTCTGCTCAATGCAAACAGGGTCAGGGTAGAGCTCTGCCACATTATAACGTTTTAGACAACTTAYGCTGAYATATGAAAAATTTSCTACRACTTTTTTACGCATATCGGATACRGATATGATCCAATTGTTAGCATTACAGTATGCAAAGGTCCAAAAGAGGGTTCCAGTAGAATTGTTTTATTCCATCTTCAGCTTTGAACAAACTTTTCCAAAGTTTGGCATAAGTAGCCTAAAATGTTATAGTGTGACAGGACCAATATCAGTTAATTGAATGAAATGAATTTTAATTTATGAAACCATCAAAGTCGATTTATTGTTTGCAACCCTTGGAGAGAACCCATGAAAACATGGGGAGAACATGCAAACTCCACASAGAAAGACCCCTAGTCCAAACTGGGGATCAAACTATTTTTCTTGTTGTGATTACGTATATGTTCACTAGGCCTGCACAATTTATCGCAAATTTATCRTCATCACAATAACAGCCTGCGCAATAGACATATCGCAAAAAACTGTATAAATTGTGATAAATGGTTGGCTTTAATGTTTGCATTTATGTGTTTTGCCAGCATCAGTCAAACAAAATGGACCAGAGATACCACATCAAATCATAGTCACTTTGTCATGTTGTAATGGAAATGATCTATTAGTTTTTTTGCTCTGAACCCAGAGTTTCAATGTAGATGACGATGGTTTTAGAAATGGTGCCATACAGGGATATTTTTAGATATGAAACATGAAAACCTTTCTTTTATGTAAACAACACAGACTAAAAACAGACAGTCCAAAATAAAGCGTTTAATTTCTGCTAAGAGGTCAACACAATAAACCAGTCAGTCAAAATGCTCAAAGAAAAAAAAAAGCTTTCTGAATTAGACATTAGACTGCTAACACACAGACTTCTAATGTGTAGTCAARTTATATAGGTGCAAGTTGAAAATGGGTCAATTTTCTATTTTTATTCTAAAATTTAAAGATTTAATTCCTTGTTACTAAAAGAAAGCACATACTTTCAGCATGCCAGTTAACTTAAAAAGAAAAAAGATCAAGATAATCAAACTTCTGCAAGAGATTACTGTTAACATCAAGCAAAGCTGCTCCACTGGGATTAAAGCCATTTTTACTACAATTATGTTTTTACACATTTGACAAAAATGATTGATCCTCCTGATTGACTATCCTTTTGAAAGTTTTGCTTGTAAACAACCCAAAACGCTAGTATAAAAACTATTTATGTAAATACAGTAATATGAACCATTATTTTAGATTATAGAAATAAAGTAATAATGAAAATAAAATCCCTTGCCCCATCAAAGTCAATACTTCCTTGGATGATTCAATAGAACAATGAAGAGCAACAGAAACCATAAATAAAACCCATGTACACCCTGTCTACAGTGTTTAAGCCCTGAGGTTCTGACTCTCAATGTTCCAGATCTGAATTAATTTCAATTTTGCTTAAATTTTGATTAGCCTACCACCCAACCTGAGATGGCAACCATGCTCTGAGCTTAGAAAACAATAAAATCACAATATTTCTGTCAATTTTACAGATATTCACCATGATGTCATCATCAAGGGTTGACCAAAACTGCAACAGCTCCATCGTTTTTTTTACCATAAGACGATCCTATTTTAAAACTGCGGGTTCAGGGAAGCATTAAGTGGGCTGTAATGTCTGTGTGATTGCTGTAACAGC